CCCTTACATTTACCGATGAGAGGGATCTGCAAAGCTGGACTTCGGGTCACTCATGGCATAGTGGCATACTGTTTAGTGTCCCCGGACTAAACCTCTGGGTGCAAGGACATAGTCTTGTGTGGGGACACCAAAATGTGGAGATGGACAAGTCCATCCTGTTGCTCCTTTATCCATATTCACATGTGCCAGAGCTGGAGTCCAGCTGGTCTCTTTCTGCCTCTGTGACTGACATGGACGAGTCCTCAGAGGAGGCTGTAGAGCAGTTTTCTCTCTCAGAGTGCACGATCGTTTCCAGAGTCTGCTGTATGCTGTACAGTCTAGTTTTACTTTCGTTCTTGCTCCCGGGATAACTTTTGCAGATCCAAAAGGTTAGCATAATTTATTATTATTAAACTAGTTTATAATTCAAAGAATCGTCTTCTAAGACAAAATAAGTTAGACATCACACACACACACTTGTTTTCATATCTTAGTGAGGACATCTCATTCACATAATGCTTTCCTTAACCCTAACCATTAAAAATGAACGCCTAATCCTAACCCTGAGCCTAAATCTAATCATAACCTAATTATAAACTTGACACCCAACCACAAGCTGCTATGAATAATAAAAACAAGTAGCGTCATCTGGTGGACGAACATAAACATTGAAAGCACGTAGTGCAGAATAAAGTCATAATAAAAAGGCATTAACTGACATTTTTTGTCCTTAGAATCAAATGTGTCGCTTTTGTGTAGCTTAGACATTTTAGTCTAATTTAAGGAACTGGGGTAAGTCTAAAATATTATATAAAAAAAGATTACCATCAGGCAAATATGAACTTATTTTAGCACAGCAAAAATGGCACGAAAATGGGAGGGAATCGGGGTCTTTCACGATCCTATCTTTTCCGAGATATGAAGTGTATGTATATGTATTATGCATATGTATATGTAATATACATTCCTGTATTCTTTTTTTAATTAACGTCATATACAATTAAGTAGCACAAATGGACAAACAGCTGTGTCAGTGAGGGGAATTTAATTCTGG